GATAACGGTCTCGTTCGCGTGCCCTTAAACCCGGTTTAATCCGCTTATTATTTCACCTGGAACAGTGTTTTTCTCTCACAAATTCCTCCAGCATTCCTCCAAAGATTTCTTCAGAATTCAGACAAGCGAACAGGCCCAACAAATCTTGTTTAGTGACAAGAAAGATTAGATTAGTGGTGCTGGTGCGTTTACTGTCATCATCAGCAAGTAAAAACCGGTCAAAGACGGAGAAAGAGGAGCGACCCCTGCCGTCCTTGTTTTCAGATTCACACGGTCTCACAAAGAACCCTCGTCAGGCTGTCACCAACAGGAGACCCGTTGCGGAACTTAAAATCAAAATAGACATAATATCTATAGCCTTTAACATAGTACTTATATGAAACATCCATTTTATGTACCAGGAGAGGCATAACCCAAATCTGAGTATCCTATTTCCTGAAAACCCATTTGCAGAAAAGGTTATCTTTTGAGTCTTATTGTTGGATAAGATAAAAAATAGATATTGAAACCATTTACCTGTAGCGCTATCTAAAGGACGAATATGTCTTGTATTTTGGATCGCGGTTCTTGAGATAGTCTTAGCCCTTGTTTAGTTTCACCCTAATTTCCAAAAAGTTGCTACAGTACCTGTCACATTGAATGTTTGCGGCCCGTGCATGGAGCATTAAATGTAGACGAAAAAAAACTAATTGCACAGTTTGGTGGGAAATTGCGAGACGAACGTTTTGAGCCTAATTAGTCCATGTTTGAACACTATTTGCCAAATAAAAACGAAGATACTATAGTAGCCCCAAAATCCAAATTTCACGAACTAAACAAGGACTTAGTCCTTGCAGTAAGGTGTCATGACTGAGCCGACATATTATATTGACCTGTGTTCTTGGCACTAGTAGTGCTGCCCTGCTAGAACAAGCACATTACTACTCAGCTGATGAAGTGGTGGGTGATTAGACGGGGAATCAGCTCAAGTGGCGCACTGATATATAAAAAAAAACAAGGGAGATGTACAATGGGGACCTCGTGCGTGCGTGCAGGTGCATGGTGACGGTGGTGGGTTCCATTCCAACGTGGACGACGACGACTGACCTGTCGTCTCTCGCCGTGACCATGAGTAACGTGCTCGCTAATAAAAATGCTAAACTTTGCACTGGTGGCCATGGCATGCATGGTGACTGCCAATTCTCTCGTCAAGGGTTGGCGGCTTGGCGATACGTTCGCGTCCTACTGGCTATGGCGCTATTCGCTTATCTTATAATCCATATTTTTCAGCTTATTTTTTAGTTGAAACAGTGCTTTTCTCTCACAACAAATCAGTCGGAACAGTATTTCGGTTTATTTTTCCAGCGAAGCGGGGCTTATGGCTACTGTCCTTGGCCTTGTTCCTTTCCCTCCCTCTCTGTTTATTGATTGATGAACACAGAACAGACGCTAATACACACAGGTCTTGGCTTCACAGCACTGTTTACACTATTCTTGTGTGTGGCAGTACCTTCCCAGTTCTCACCATACAACTTACTATACATTACTCCAAGTTCAACAGTGTAGGTATGACCAAGAATTTGCCAGGTGCTGCCAACCAAAACTGGAGGTCATGCCACGATCCTGAAAGATTGCTTACACGTCTAAAAAGCTTTCACATAGAAGTGACTTGGTCGGCGGATCAGTGACGACGACGACAACAACAAAGTCTTAGCTGTTTTCAAGCACTCCTATCTAAGGCTAAGTCTTTGGGTATATTCCATCATTTCAAGTCTCATTTTATTGCCTCTACCCAAGTCAACTTCGGTCTTCCTCTGTCTCTCTTCACGTTACTATCCTGGCTTAGGATTCCACTACGCACCGATGCCTCTAGTGGTCTCCATTGGACATGCCCAAAGCATCTCAATCGGTATTGGATAAGCTTTTCTTCAATTGGTGCTACTCTTAATCTATCACGTATATCATCGTTCTAAATTCGATACCTTCTTGTATGACCGCAAATCCAACGCAACATACGCATTTCCACGACACTTATCTGTTGAACATGTCGTCTTTTCGTAGGCCAACATTCTGCACCATACAACATAGCAGGTCTAATCGTCGTCCTATAAAACTTGCATTTTAACTTCTGTGGTACCCTTTTGTCACATAGGACACCAGATGCATGACGCCACTTTATCCATCCTGCTTTGATTCTATGGCTAACATCTTCATCAATATCCCCGTCTCTCTGTAGTATTGATCCTAAATATCGAAATGTATCCTTCCTACGCACTACTTAACCTTTCAAACTAATATCTTTCTCCTCCCGAGTAGTAGTGCCGAAGTCACATCTCATATACTCAGTTTTAGTTCTACTGAGTCTAAAACCTTTGGACTCCAAAGTCTCCCGCCATAACTTCAGTTTTTGATTCACTCATGTCCGGCTTTCATCAACTAGCACTACATCGTCCGCGAAAAGCATACACCAAGGAATGTCCCCTTGTATATCCCTTGTGACCCCATTCATCACTAAGGCAAACAGATAAGGGCTCAAAGCTGACCCTTGATGTAGTCATATCCTAATCGGGAAGTCATCCGTGTCTCCATCACTTATTCGAACACTAGTCACAACATTGTTGTACATGTCCTTAATGAGTCCAACGTACTTCGTTGGGACTTTATGTTTGTCCACAAACCATCATATAACATTCCTTGGTATTTTATCATAAGCCTTCTCCAAGTAAATAAAACCATGTGTAGGTCCTTCTTCTCCCTATACCGCTTCATAACTTGTCTTATTAAGAAAATGGCTTTCATAGTTGACCTTCCGGGCATAAAACCAAATTGGTTCATAGAGACCCGTGTTATTGCTCTTAAGCGATGCTCGATAACTCTTTCACATAGCTTCATAGTATGGCTCATCAACTTAATTCCCCGGTAATTAGTACAACTTTAAATATCCCCTTTATTCTTGTAGATCGGTACCAATATACTTCTCCTCCATTCGTCAGGCATCTTGTTCGATCGAAAAATATAGTTGAACAGTTTGGTTAGCCATACTATAGCTATGTCCCCGAGGCATCTCCACACCTCGATTGGGATACCATCCGGTCCCATCGCCTTACCTCCTTTCATCCTTTTCAACGCCTCTCTGACCTCAGATTCTTAGATTCTCCGCACAAAACACCTATTGGTGTCATCAAAATAGTCATCCAACTGAAAAATTGTGTCCGTATTCTCACCATTGAACAATTTGTCAAAATACTCTTGCTATCGATGTCGGATCTCATCCTCCTTCACCAAGAGATGCTCCATTTCATCCTTAATGCACTTAACTTGGTTGAAGTTTCTTGTCTTTCTCTCACGAACCCTAGCCATCCTATAAATGTCCTTCTCTCCTTCCTTCGTACTCAAATGTTGGTAAAGATCCTCGTACGCTCTACCCTTTGCCACACTTACAGCTCGCTTTGCAGTCTTCTCTGCCACCTTGTACTTCTCTATGTTGTCAACACTCCTGTCATGGTACAAACGTCTATAGCATTTTTTCTTCTCCTTAATAGCCCTTTGGATTTCCTCGTTCCACCGTCAAGTATCTTTAGCCTCGCCTTCACTTTTTTTTGTTACTCCACACACCTCTAAAGCCACCTTCTGAATGTTGGTTGCCATCTTCTTCCACATGTTGTTTATGATCAAAATAAAAAAGCATGCTTTTCACATGGAAAGGGGATAAGGGGAAGAATTTTTGCCGGGAAGAAAGAAGGGCATGGAAAAGGCACCTTAATCAAATCTCTAGTGCAAGACCAAAACCATCATGGGCCATGTTTAGTTCCCACCAAAATTCAAACTTTGGCACTATACAAAAAGAAGATTCCCCATCATATCAAATTTACGGTACATGCATGGAGTACTAAATGTTGACGAAATCAAAAACTAATTGCACAGTTTAGTTGTACTTTGCGAGACGAACGTTTTGAGCCTAATTAGTCAACGATTGAACAACTATTACCAAATGCAAACGAAATGCTACATTGTGCTACAGTATCTACAGTAATTTCAGCAGCACCAATTCCAGGCAACTAAACGAGGCCATGGTTCTAGAGCAGCTCTCGAGGTCAACTACATCTGTTCTAAAAAAAAAGGTCAACTACATCACTAATCTCAGTTACACATACATAGCGTTAAAAATAGTATGCTTCTAGTAAATAAGCATATGCAATTCAAAAGTTGCAGTTCAAGTATGTATCGCCGGATCATCATGTATGTATGTATGTATGTATGTTGTGGTTATTACTCATTCTGTGATCATCGATTGCTTGTGTACACATGTCATGGTTTAAACAGAAGACGGTTCAGAGCTGAATTTTTGCAAAACAGGAAGACCAGCTAGAAGAAGATACACGCACTGTGTAGCCAAGGAGTGGACCCCATGAGATAGAGTTGCAACAAATATGCCACATGACTGGAGGTCTGGAGCAGCGTTTTACAAGATGTAGATACAGATGGGCCTGCCAAGGCGCCACATCAATTTTTACACGAAGTATGTCCTCTATCGCAACAGCCGCCTGCTGACAGGTGGTGCCAGCCCAGGGATGTCGCGGATGTCCTTGTTGTGCGGGTTCACAATCTGGCAATGGAACAGTATGGACAACATTCGTCAACAGCCATAATAATAACCAAACAAGCCTGAAAATCCTAAATGTATTTTTCGTTGCCGCCTGTCTTTATGGGCTATTTGACTTCCAGCAGGCACACTGCTGCCAATGACTTATCTACCCAGAAATTTGCAGAGGTTTATACGACACCATATCTTCTCACTCGTGGTGTATAAGGTTCTTTTTTCTTCTTCTCTTCTATTTTGAAATAAGGTGTCTAAAGGTTCCTGAACTAATGTATGCATGATTTTTATCCACAGAGAAGAAAGAAAAGGTGCTGGTGCACGAATGGTTGGACGGTTTGACACGCTAGCCCCGTTGTCACTAAATTTCTTAACTAGCGTGTAAACATTTCAGTCAGAGCAAAGTGGTGACAACTATGAGCAACTATTTTGCCCACTTTGTCAGTTCATCTCCCACAAGAACAACATGCCCATTGAGGACAAATTCATTTCCACTTTGTTCTGTAAATTCCACATCAAACCAAAAGGCCTCCCACAAGAACAAAGTGCCCTTTGAGGAGGAATTCAATTTCCACAGTTCTGTAAACTTCACATCAAACCAAAAGGCCAAAAACCAGAGTGGTAAAATCATGTAAAGGGGGCTAAGTGTAGGATTTCCAAGCCATTTTAACTGAATCACATCAATATTGGATAGATCATTGATGAGTAAGAAAATCTCTGAAGAAGGTAAGCACTCACCTTAACAATTATTACAGCTATGACTCCAGCAACAATGAGAAAAAGCATGGCCACGATGCATCGATCAGTTGCAACCTATTTTAAAAGAATTGATAATAGGTAAGAATATAGTTCGCTAATAAACTAAAGAAACTGTGAGATGAATTTACCTGTCTACCGATTTCTTTCACCAATTGAGATGCCTTTTTGATGGAGAAATGAATGGAATCCAGCTCATTAACAACTCTGCTCATTTGTTCTGTCTGGTGAAGAAGAAATAGCCCAAAATTGCCTTTACCATTCCTGATTGGACAGCATAATAGAACAATTGGCACCTTCTGGAAATAAGAAAAGAAACATACCTGTGCTTTCAGAGCAGCTGCAGTCTCTGTGCCCACATTCATGGTTTCTTGGACAGTCTACAAAATAGACAACAGATCAGCATCAAGAAGAAATGAAGTGTGAATACACTGCCGCTGAGAGGGCATGAGCACAGCAATTTGTGGGAAGACTTGAGAGTCAACAACAAATTGTTCCGTGGAAGCTAGGATCATTGAGGAATATAAATATTGAGGACTTCGGCAGTGGATTCAATTCCAAACTTAGCACAAAGCATCAAGACTTGAGAGGAGGAAAATAACTTATCTATATCTATACACAAAACAGCTGCGGCCAAAAATATTTCTCGTCTTCAACCGAAAAAAAAGGAAAGGGAAAAAGGAAAAGGGAAGATGAAGAGGGGGCAACACGGCAATGTCAGCATCTTAGCAGCATAATGAGAAACAAAGATCTTAAAAGGATCATGTGTGATGCAAAAGCTCTTTCTGAACACAGATTTTTCAACTTGTTAAACAAGATCAACAGCTGTTCCTAGGAAAATGATGCTATAAGCTCAGATGCAGGTCATAAATAAGTATTAACCTGCTTAGATCGTGCAATAGCTTGATCAGTTTCATCCATAAGTTGATTGCCTTGATCCATTAACTGCTGGTTTGTCATATCTGAGAAAAAGAAACTGCTCAGTTATCTGAAGAGTTGTATAAATCTGTTGTATAAGAGGCTTGTTTCTTGCAAAGGTTTCAATAGGTAAACATAACAACCAAAAGGAAATAAGTTTGCCTAATATATTCCTAGCTTGTGAACCTGAAAGAGATCATACAATCACATATTCACATGAGCAAACTTATAGGGGACGTGATGTCGCCACTTACTTGATGCTAACAGGACATTTTCTTCACCAAAGCCATCTTCAACACTTGGCCCATCAAAAAGATCAATTCTCTTGTTTTCACTTGCCTGTCTGCAGCCCAAGTGATATTTGCAGTAAGTAACATGATATGTTACAGAAAACTGTAAATGCATTGAAAAAGATAAATCTGATGCATAATTTAGTGGCACGAGTTCAATTTGTTACAGATGCAATGCATAAGCTGAAGTTGGATACATTGCAAGAATACGGTGTACTGAGACAGGTCAAAACTCACTGTTTCTTAAGAGCAACGTAGGAGTTCAATTCTTTGATCTGCAAAACAAGATATTCTAGTTAGGAAATGATCCACACATATGACATCTATCATACAATCAGTTTTGGCAATAGTACCATTGACTGCTTCCTATCATGCAACATTTTTGCTGTCGTCGGATCAGTATGCCCAGCCTCGTCTTTGCTAACTCGCTCAAAGTCTTTGATGAGTCTGGATAATTACACATAAATAAAAAGAGCAAAATGTCAGCTTTATTGAAATTACTCGTATAAGTCTCCATTTTTCCTAAAAACAAATGTTTGGCCCTGTTAATGCGATTCTAAATACAGAGACTGCAAGTAGTCATGAGCAGCGGAAACAGTGGAACAAGGTATACACAATGCAGTATATTTGTCAAGAGATACAGAAACGACTTTTATGGAGAAAAAACTATATTGATGTTAGTGTGAGGTAAGCAGCACCACAATGCAACTTATGTACTCATTCCATCAGCATTACTTGCATTTAGCCTTTCGACCTTCTCTGTGTTACCAAAGGGACGATGCTAAAAGCTATATAGAGTAGTACTGAAAGGGAATGGAAGAGAATAAGAGATTGAGCAACCTCTTGCAATCTCGCATCTTGTCAGTAAGCTCTTCCAGCTGCCTGCTGCGGCGGTTGGCATCCTTGATCTTCTCCAGCTTCTGGAACCCATTTCTGCAGACAAATCAAGCAAAGCATCAGCCAATCACATTATATATGCTACCATTTCTACAGAGGTCAAGTAGTAGAACCCGCGAGCCTTTTTTTTCTTCCACCCTACAGGTCAACAATCGGGTCTCCAAACTAATGCCCACTACCGAAACTGCAGCAAGCAAACTGAGATCTGGCGACCATGCGTGGGCGGCACAAGCAAACTACGACTCTACGAGCAAGCTAAACCGGAGCAAGCCGAATGGTGTGAGCTTACTGCAATGCGCGGAGGATGTCGCCGATCTGCCCGTCGATCTCGGCCAGCTCCTCGTTGACCGACGCCAAATCCATGTCCTCCTCCCCCTCCCTCTTCGGGTCAGGGCAACCGGACCAGCAACCGGACCAGCAACTGGGCCGGGAGGTGCGTTTGCCGAGCGCAGTATTGGCACCCTTCGCAGGTGCGTACAATTTGCTCGGCATCGGCTACTGCGGTGGGCCAATAGAAACCCTGTCGGAATGCCTTCCCAACCAAGGTTCTTGGTGCGGCATGGTGTCCGCATGCCCCTCCGTGGATGTCGCTCAGTAGGAGTTTTCCCTGTTCGCCAGGGATACAAAGTTGCAGAATTCTGATGTGGCTTCGTTTGTAGAGTTCGCCCTCTACAAGAACGAAGGATTTGGCGCGCGTCCTTGCGAGCCGTCGAACTTCGTCTTGTTGGTTGGTAGTACGTCGTGGAGGAGATAGTCGATGTAAAGCGTTCTCCAGTCATTGGGAGGATCGGACTCCATTGCTGGGTCTTCTTCAAGCTCCATGACCTCGGGGTCGGGAGGAACAGTTGGCGGATCGGCCTTGGGGTCTGGACTAGAAGGGCCATCGTCGGCTTGTTCCGACCCCACGTAGCGCATCTGAGGGTTTGTGTTGGTCGGTCATTTGGCGACGCTGTTGGGCCGGCTCGGTGGATGTTTGCTTTTTTGCAGTGTATCGGTACCGCTTGCTGAGGCGTCTGGGGATATGATTGAGTTCGAGGTCGTCGAATTTGTCCTCCGACGTCGGACCTCTTGACAAAGATGCCTCCATCTTGGTATCGTGGGCGGCCCGACTCTTTCATGACTGGTTGACAACCACCGAGAGTCGCCCACGACGTCAAGGCGTCGGATGCCCACTTCGATGGCGATTCGTAGGTCGTTGATGAGCGCTTCAGTATTCTGCGGTATTGTTTGATGAGGGAAAATGAAGCCAACCATGTACCTCATGTGGACCCCAGGGGATACAAAGACTAGTCCCGCTCGGCGCCCTTCTTCATTAGCGATCCGTCAAGTACATTATCCGAAGATCTTGATCGACGGTACTTTGGTGGCATCTGGACCTCGGTCCACTCCACGATGAAGTCGGCCAGATGCTCGAGATTTGATCGCCGTTCGGGGACATAAGAAATGCCCGATCCATCACTCGAGTGCCCACTTTGCGGTTCTTCCCAGTGGCGTCATGGCTACTGAACGACCTCGCCGAGGGGCAACGTCACGCCACTATCACACGGGTGTGATTCAAGTAGTGGTGTAGCTTCCTTTTGGTGATGAGGACGGTGTAGAGGAGTTTCGGAGCTGGGAGTAGCGGGTTTTGGAGTCGGATAACACCTCACCGATGAAATATACGGTATACCGCACCTTGAAGGCGTGCCCTTCTTCTCGCTCTACTATTAAATGCGGAGCTAACCACTTGGGTGGTGGCCGATATATATAGTAGGAGAGATTCTCCATCGCATGGAGGAACTAGGACCGGTGGCTTGGTTAAAAATCGTTTAACCATGTCAAGTGCTTCTGAGCCTCATTTGTCCTCCACTGGTCCGGTTTTCTTCGAGAGTCGATAAAGGGAAGTCCTCGTTCACCGAGGCGTGAAATGAATCGGCCGAGAGCGGCAAGGCACCCGTGATCCGCCGAACCCCTTTATGTTTTGGATCGGGCCCATCCTCGTGATGGCCGATATCTTCTCTGGGTTGGCTTCGATGCCACGTTCGGAGACGATAAAGCCGAGCAGCATGCCCCTCGGGACCCCGAAAACACATTTTTCGGGATTGAGCTTGATGCCGTTCGCCCGAGTTTCGCAAAGGTACGTTCAAGGTCGGCGACAAGGTGGTCAGCCCGCTTGGATTTGACTACGATGTCGTCGACATAGGCCTCAACGGTTTGCCCGATGAGATCTCCGGCAACTAAGCATACAAATACCGATACGTTGCCCAGCGTTCTTCAAACCAAACGGCATTGAAACGTAGCAAAACGATCCGAAGGGCGTGATAAAAGATGTCGCGAGCTGGTCGGACTCTTTCATCGCGATCTGATGGTAGCCTGAGTATGCGTCCAGGAAACAGAGGGTTTCGCACCCCGAGGAGGAATCGACTATTTGGTCTATTCGTGGCAAAGGAAATGGATCCTTTGGACACGCTTTGTTGAGGCCAGTATAGTCAACACATTCTCCATTTCCGCTCTTTTTTCCGAACAAGAACAGATTTGCTAACCACTGGGTGGTATACTTCCTTAATGAATCCTGCGGCGATGGTTTGGCTATCTCCTCGCCGATGGCCCTGCGTTTCTCCTCGTCGAAGCGGCGCAGGCGTTGTTTCACCGGCTTGGAGCCAGGAAGGATTTGGAGAGTATGCTCGGCGACCTCCCTCGGGATGTCCGGCATATCCGGGGTTTCCACGCAAAAGATGTCCTTGTTGGCGCGGAGGAAGTCGACGAGCGCGCTTTCCTATCGCGGAGGAGAGCGCGGTCCCGATTCGGACTTTTTGCCCTCGAGCTCACCGGGATCCAAGAGGACGTCCTGGAACCCTCTCTGCCGATTCGAACGATCCGGACAACTTCTTTCGTCGGGTGTCCCTCACCGACCTCCTCCACGAGGGTGACGAGCTCTTTGGATGCGATGACCGCGGATGCGTGTCCGCAACATTCGACCTCGCACTTTCGTAAGCGCTACCGGGAAGGAGGTGCCGATGGTGATGATCCCACGGGGCCCGGCATCTTCGACTTCAGATATGTGTAGTTGGGTACGGCCATGAACTTCGCGTAACATGGTCGCGCCCCGAATGGCGTGGAAAGTCCCCGAAACCCCACTATATCGAAGGTGAGGGTCTCGGTCCGGTAATTGGATCGATCCCCAAAAGTGATGGGCAGTCAATCGCCCTAGTGGCACGGCTTGCCTTCTGATGCACGACGCCATGGAAAGGTTCTCGACGGGGCGGGCGCGTTCGGTCGACGCCCATCTCGTCGGCGTCTTGGCGTACATGATGTTGAGGCATTGCCCCATCCATTAGTACCTTGGTGAGCCGCTTTGGACCGACGATCGGGTCGACGACGACAGCGGATACCTTCCCGTGTGGGATGGCATCCGGATGGTCGGTCCGGTCGAAGGTTATGGCGGATTCCGACCACCGGAGATAGGCTGGCATAGCCGGTCCAATGCATATAGACCTCTCGACGTGTGACCTTCTGGCGACGCCTGGAGTCGTAGGCCGTTGATCCTCCGAAGATCATGAGGGCACCGGTCGAGTTGGGAAGGTGTCGTCCTTCTCCTCCGTGTCGTTAGTGGTGGGAACAGGCTCCTTCCCCTGCTCCTCCTTGTTAAGGCCCCCAGCCAAGTATTTGCGCATAAGGCCGCATTCCTTGTATAGGTGCTTGGCCGGGAAGGCGTGGTTTGGGCATGGCCCCTCGAGCATTTTCTCGAAGTGGTTCGGAGTGCCCTCCGCGGGCTTCCGGCCACCTTTGCGGTCGGCAGCGGCCGCGAGTGAATTGTCGCGCCGTTGCTTTTTATCTTTCCTTTTGGCGGGACGGTTGGAGGCGCCTTCTTTGGCGTCCTCGTCCCGCTTTATCTTCCGTCGGAGCGATCAAAGATGGCTCCGACCGCCTCTTCTCCAGAGGCGTGACTGGTGGCGATGTCCAGAAGTTCCTTGGTAGTTCGTGGGCCCCTGCGTCCCAGCTTGTGGACCAGGGACTCGCAGGTCGTCCCGGACAGAAAGGCTCCTATTACGTCGACGTCAGTGACGTTTGGGAGCTCATTGCACTGTCGGGAAAAGCGCCGGATGTACCCGCGGAGGGTTTCATCGGCCTTCCGACGGCGAGCTTCTTGAGGTCCCATGGGTTTCGAGGCGTTTATGCGTGCCACAGAAATTACCCACGAAGATCTCGGTCGATCCGCCAACTCACGAATAGCATTGGGCGGTAGGTGCTCCACCATGCTCGTGCTTGAAGTCGGCCAAGAACGGCGGGAGATTGCGAATAATGAAGTTATCATCACTGCACCACCGGCCGACATGCAAGCCGATAGTCTTGAGCCAAAGCCCGGATTTGTTTCGCGAAATATTTAGGAATGTTCGTGGGTGGTCGATACCTTAGAGGGAACGCAGCGTTGAGGATGTGCCGTCCAAAGGCCCGAGGGCTGGCGGGGGACGAGGCTCGGGCTTCGGTCCTCGTTCTTTGTCGTAAGCGCCCGCCCACGTCGGGGATGATAGCCGCGACGCTGCTGTTTCTCCCTCGTCGCCGTGGGCACGCGTCTCCGGCGTCGATGATGCTACGTCTCGTCGCGCCACGGCCGAGCGTTGATGTCTGAGGACGACGGAGGGCTGCCACGCCGGCGTGTGTTTGGTGTACGGATGCGTCCTTGGTGGGATGCACCGAAGGTGCGCCGGCCAGCTGATGTCGGGTTCGCGTCGTCGAGACAATGAACTTTCCGCTTTCTTCTGCGGCTGCAAGCCGAGCAACGTCGCGAATCTCCCGATAAGCGTGTCGATCCTCGGACGTCGCGGCCTCCGGGAGACCATGCGCAAAGGCGGCGGTCGCCTGCGGCGATGTTCGGCCGGCTCGAGCAAAGTGAGGAAAAGCCCCATCGTCGGTGAGGATCCTTCGATGTACGGTGCGGGCTGTAGTGCGCTGCGCTTCCCGCCTTTGCGGCGTCAATCTCGCGATTGATGTCCGCGTATTCCCGTCTCTGAGCCCTTGCACGGCCTCATCGATCTCTTCTTGCCGACGAGCCCTTAGTTGCTCCATCCTCGGGGCGAGATGGGGCTGTCCCTTCTTCCCGGATCTGCCGTCGAGATTGTTCGTGGGGTGGCTTCTTCCTGGGCGCTTTCGGCGTGACCCTCGGGGTCTGCGTCATGTAGCATTCTCGGGAAGGGTGGTGGCTCCCCTCTTTGGAATCCGAGCCGGAGAGCGATACAGCTCCTCGTTGAGGAGCTCGTGAGAGGGTCTCCGTATCCCGCTCAATCACCCCACGAACTCGATGTCCGTGGGTGGTTGAACCACACGTAAGCGCTAGAAGACGGCCAGCGGTTGCCCGCAACGTTGCGGAGACCGAACGGAACGCT